AGCGTTAGAAAAGATGGAAACCACTTCTAGTTTCTAGATCCTGTTCCTGTTTACACATCAACCTAAAACACGAGACATACTGAGTTGTTATATCTATTTCATAGGTTAGTTTTACAGACTTTGTAAAGCAGACTTTCCGCAGTTTACACATGTATCAGAGACAGCAAACACAGCGTAAGCTGAAGTGGAGTCCGGTTAACCTGATCTAAGCATTAATATACTTTTAAAGAACTTGCATCGCTACTTCAAGACGAGGGACGAGGGATTTCCTTCTTCACAAAGTCAGAACGTACGTTCTGGGAAAATACCAACATATATGGCATGCATAGAGGAGCTGCACCACAACGACTGTAACGGCCTACTGTACACAGCACTGATCCCATGAATAAACAGTGTCATTGAAAAAAGAAAAAGGAAAATCATGAAAAGTCAAAGACAGGCAGTTCAGATATTGCTACAAAGCAGACATTTGAGATTTTTTTTTTTAACCTTTTGCATAAGTTTGGAAGACAAGACATGCTTAAGACTAAGGTCAGGACTAAAATTGGACATAAGGTCGTAAACATTTTTGCCCCGTACGTAAAAAAACCAAAACAACAACAACAACATGAGTCTGTTTTGATTCCAAACACGTCTCTGGGTCGGAGCATCATCAACCCACACCTGAAAAAGTGCAAATGAATGGAATGAAAGGAAGTCTGACAGACGAGTGTGAGCACACTGAGGGTCAGAGGGGTCGCCTACAGTGCAGGACTTCCTTCATAATGGAACAACAACAAACCCAAGAACCTCTAAACACAGCATTTCTAAATGTATATAGTCTTATACATATGTTGATATATTTTGCATATAAATGCAGAATTATGATAGAAAAGCTCAAGGGTATTTAGTCGAAAATTATACTGAACCTTTGAATTGAACTTCATATTTAAGGGTTTATTTTATTACATTAAAGGACAAGGATTTAAGACATGAGAAAAATAAATTTGATGCTCACAAAGAAGTCAAATCAAACAGAAGTCAAATTCACTCGTTTGGGATGATTAAGCTGAGCTAAGTCAAATTAATGGAGCACCGCAAAATCAACAAAAGTCCTACATTAGCACAAAGAGGGAAAAGACAACTGAAATCCTCGAAATAATTTATAAAATCACAATGGTATATTATTAGTGGGGTTTTTAACCTCCAGATTGAAGTTAATATGTTGAGAAGTGGAAAAAGCATTTGGGAAATACAAAAAATAAAAAAATGAATGAATGAAAACATGTTCTTAGACAGTCTCTATATTTTGTTGCTAACTTTAGAGCTAACTTTATTCAGGCATTAAAATGGAGAAAATCATTTAATGAAACTGATCATTGACTGTGGTCTGAGCACATGCAGGCCGGGATAATTCAATCTCTCTGCACGTGCGGCTGCCACTGCCCCGATCCCACCGATCGATCAGCAGCCGGCATTTTAGGAGTCAAGTGAACTAGATCAGTGTACACTCTGTTCTTTTAGTCTAATTATCATGTATAAACCCGGGTGAGCGGTGCTAAACGTCGTGAACAACGGTGGATTCAGGAGATTCTAATTTAATCTAGTTTTCAATCCAGAGTCGTGTGTGTGTGGGATTATTCATGAAATATTGATCATGAAAAGTACGTGATGCAGCTTTGACAGACTGTAGAGAAGGAAATTTAGATTTAAACAAACTCACTGTTGCTGATCAATACAGCACACACACACACACACACTGTTACACAGCCTTTTTACATCTGACTTTTTGTCGTATGGACCTGCTCGGTACTCAAACCATCTGTAGCTTCAGAAACGTTATGATCTGGTGGTAGCATTAGTCCAGCTTTGACCAGAAGCACCATCATCAATAGAACTGTGTGAGTGGTTTGATGGTTCGGCCCAGTCGAGACGATGGCGGGGATGGAGTTTAAAGGCGAACAGTGGACGACTCTTCGGTGAAATGGAACTGGACTCGACAGGTCGGAGAAATGTCTCAGAAACCACAGCTCCTCAGACTTGTATAACAAATTCAGGGTTGGTGTAGGAGAAACCATCAAACTCATTTTGGTCCAAGTTCATGATGAAGAGCTTGTCCGTGGGCGTTAGCTCGACGGCCATCTTTGTGAACTCCTTGTCGAAGTTGCCGACATCGGAGCGGGATTTCTGCGAGAGATAAAAAAAAAGTGGGGATAAGAAATAGAAATAAAAGTAAAAACAGTGTTTAAGGAAGAAAATCAGGTTGACAATTAGGCATAAAGCACAATGATGAAGAGTAGAGGAGGAGGAGGTGAGGAAGGTGGAGTGTTTATGCGAAGCAAAAGGCAGAGATGGAACAAAAGTTAGTGTTCAAGGACCTGCAGTCGGTATTTGTCTGGATTTAAAAAAAGAAAAATCACAACTAGTTTCAACTAGTTTTGTAGCAGATTAAATTTCATGTGGTATCTCTCTTGATCTAAATGGCATTTTGTTTTTTGAGTTGAAAAATTTAGAGTTGAAAAATATTCTGTTGAACATGATTGGTTTAAGAACTGTACAGAAATTACTAACAAATTAGACATTAATTTTTATTTATTTATTTACATGATTGGTTTAAGAACTGTACAGAAATAGTCAATTACTAACAAATTAGACATTAATTTATATTTATTTATTTATTTTTATCTGCAAAAAGATCCATTAAAAATTACTTTCCAATATTATTATCTGCAAAAAGATCCATTAAAAATTGCTTTGTATTTCCAATACAATTAAAAACAATGGAGCCACACTAAAACTATTACTAATTATTATTATGCATATATATGTATATATTTTATGCACTGAATCATTGAATTTAGAAGCGGACAGTTATTTTTATTAAACTTTAATTCAGGACTTTTAGTGGCATTAGCGACAAAAGTAAACCAGTCCAATAAGTCCAGACCCAGTCCAGTCCACACGTCTGATTACCTATAAATGCCGACACCACATTATGCCCATACACAATGTGTTCCAAACAAGACTGAAGTTGACGAAAACAAACACACCCTCCTGACAACCCAAGCCACACACAGATGTAGAGAAAATCCAAGACAAAGTTTTTTGTTCTCAACAAGTGAAAGGACGAATTTTGGTACAGAGACAAGGAATAAACACAGCAGTTGCAGAAGGAACCAGAACCAGGAGAGGATTACGAAGGAGAGTCAAGCAGTGAGCCTCAGGCAAGACGAACAGATCACACACACACACACACACACACACACACACATCACAGACAGTTTACGTCTCCTACCTCCTCCGTTTGTTTCATCTTAGGGCTTCCAGTTGGAATGAGAAGAAGCTGCAAAAAGTTCTCATCTCTCTACATCAGGTCCGAGGACTCGTAAAAAGGCTTAATTTTTTATGTCAACGTTACAGAAGTTTGGTTTGTTTTATGGCTTTTTCCCATCAAATCAGACATGTTGGCTGATCCAGAGTAAATCCCAGTGATTTATTTTTTAATAAGTTCTCATCTCTCTACATCAGGTCCGCGGACTCGTAAAAAGGCTTAATTTTAAATCCCACTGATTTTTTGTTTTTTTTTTGTTTTGATATATAACTCGGGAAATAAGAAAATACCAAAGTCACTATCTAACAATTTCTTTCTTCAGTTTTACCCAAAGTGTGGTGCGTGCTACCCTGAGGGTACGCCAGATGCCACTAGAGGGTGCACAAGATAAAAATGTGAAGTCAAGAATTTAAGGCTTTAACTAAAGGCTTAATGGATGTCCTATGTGTATTCTGATCATTTAAGGATGAGTAAACACGATGCCTTTATAAGAAAGCTTGTTGTAGTACTGCCTTTAACCCAGTACTTCTCAAAAAGTCCTGGGGGGAGGAATATCGCACACTGGACATAAGTGGACCACTGCTGTAATGCTTGAATGATAAGAAGCCTCCAGTCACTAGGTGGCAGCACCTCATACAGTGGTTTGTACAAATAAAAAATATACGTTATCAGGTTCTCATAGTAAAGACATGACAGAAACTAATTGAGAACCACTGCGTCAACACAAACAGCTGCCTATATCGACATCGCTTAATATCAGAATTGGAAATTGAATGTTTGGACAACGCAGGCAAAAAGTAAATATCAGACATCTCAGTTTGTTGAACTGATGGTAAAAGCAGCAGCAGCAGTAACAAGTCGGACACAGCAGTAGTCTGGTAGGCACCAGTGAGTATATTATCTGTTTCCAGTCATACAGGACAATAACACAAACCACAGAGGCATTGCTATCTGTCAGGGCAACTTACCCAAATAACTCTTCTGTATATAACTCTCTCTAATATGCAGATATACATTTTTTTTTCAATTTTTTCTTATTAAACCTCTCATTCTCCAATCATAAAAAGTATTCACGTTTAACTTTTTTTTTTATAACAGAAACAAACTTTTGATTTCACCATGCTGTCGTTGTGATACAAGCTCTATTAACAAGATTTGACACCATCATTACTACTTTGCATCAGTACACAATTACAAAAAAAGAAAATGTAACCTGACGTTGATGAAATGCCCGTCATTTCCCACAGGCTGAGGAGGAGGACTTTACCAGTGAAACTCTACCTTTGTCGGAGGACAAAGAAGCTAATATGCATACTGTCATAGTCGTACATGTATTGCAAAATGGCACTAAAGGGCTGCCTTGGTCACAATTGTTGAGGACAGTGACTGTTCACAGCCTTTTGTTACTGAATACTATTTTTGGCACTTTTGGCCGATCCACTAGAGAAACCACGGCTTCACAATACTCTGTGCTTAGTCAAAGGAGTGCTTTCATCATTGGTGGTTTGCACATGTAAAGATATGCAAATCTCTAAAATGAAACACAGTGTAACGTGAACATTTCAGTCAAAAAAAAAAAAAAAAGAAAATCTTGCAAAGGACGTTCAGAGAGCCTTTTGACCTCTGCTCGTATGAATTTCAATAATATTTTTTATAACAACAACACTGACTGGAAATAAAACATATTTGGTCCAAAAAGACAGGAGTAAATTCAACATCGGAGAAATTATTAGATTCTCAAACAATCATAGCAAAGAAACAGATCAGTTGTTACTTACACTGAACCAGTACGTGGTAATAGTACACTTGTGACCGCCGCCTTAGTTGATATGCACTTACAGGGGAGGGTGACACAGAGACGGGTCAGGTTCAGGTCAGCCGCGAGGTCGGCCATGAACCCTACAGGCAGCATTCAGAAGCGAGCAACATTTCTGCACTGAGCGCAGAGTCACAGCCAGAGCGGATGTGAGGGCACGGGGGTCACATGACCATTTAAAACCAGAGCAAAGACATGTGACAGGTGCAACTGTGATCATTTCCCCTTAATGTGGATGGACACTTAAGCATCAGTCTGTTTCCGTCCCATCGTAGGAAAAGTTTGGCATTTTTTTGTAGCGTTGTTGCTTTCTTTCCCTGGTGGACTGAGGCGAGAACTGCAATAATAACTGAAATAATGAGGCCATTTATTAACAGGAAAACTGGTGCGGATCAATGTCTATGGGGAATGATCAATAAATAGAACTAAATATATATTTCATAAATACAGAGTTATAACGTTAGGTAATATTTCCGTAACCTTTTTTGTTTTTTTACTATAAACCGTGACGTCATATTTAATTACATTTTCACAAAAGTTGTATGACATCACGCGTCATATTTAATTACATTTTCACAAAAGGCCTTTGTATGACATCACGGACCTTCAAAGTCTCCAACTGGGCGACCAAGGTGTCAATGTTGTGCTTTATCCAAGGACTACTTACTCCTACATGAAATGTGATAACCTCATCATCAACCACTCCTGTGGTTGGACTATGAACCCATCAGGAAAATGTTGGAGATGGAAATGGAATTTGTCAAATTTTAAAATTCCTCATTCTCGTCCTTTTAACAGTTCTGGGATTTGGAGGTGATATGGGATTTCTGTCCTCGGAATTCTTGAGTCAAACTAAGCTAAAGAGTCACTGACACTGAATTAGATGAAAGAAAGCAACCGAGTGTTTCATGAAAATGCCAAACAACTTCCAAATGTACTGCTGATCGCAGTCTGGACAACAGACAACACTGTTTTGGAACATTGTGTTCTTTTTTTATATGTTCATATGTGAAGGTTTGGGGGGGGGGGGGGGGGGGTACTAGTGCAGCTGGGTGATATGTGGCAATGTCAGTGGGCTGTGTGAGGGTACTCAGGGTTAACATATGAGAAGCCTTGGAACTCTTCCTGGTCCAGGTTGGCTATAAGCTCCTGATCTGGGGGGGTCAGCTCTGGGGGGTGGCGTGTGAAAAAGCGATCAAAGTTCTCAGCTTCACGCCCACACTGCCATGGAGAGGAGAGAGTGAGACAGAGATGGGGAGAGGGACATGGGGGATGCAGTGAGTTTTGGTGAAGGATGTGGAGAAAAACGGACGTCCGACAGACAACATCAAAGAGAAAAAGAGAAAGACAACTAAAACATGGCATCAACCAATCAAATCGGTCACAGTCGGAACTGTGGATTTCCATTGGTCCGCGTGTGAGCCAGTGATATCTCAGCTTCATCATTGGTGACTACGCGGACAAATCTCAATTTGCATTTGTCAGAGTAGTGCCCAATGGCAGGCGATGGTTGGGTTCGGGGGATGAGCGAGCTAACTGTCGTACAACTTACCTTCAGAGTTCCTCAAACTATCTTTGTCTCCTTCCTTAATCTGAACCACGTCAACATCTTTAGTCTGTGTTTGTGACGAGTGTGTAGGATACTCACAGCCTTAGGTTTAAACGGGGGCTGGACCTCCTTATTCTCCAGTTTTTCCCAGTCTATGTAACGGAAGAAGGCGTGCTCCTTGATGTCTCGCTCCCCCTCTGGACCGCAGCCCAGACGTTTGCCTGGGTGTTTGGTCATCAGCTGAAAAAAACCCAACAGAAAGTCACTGTTAGGCTGTTGTAAGTACGGGTTAATTGCGTTATTATTTACTTGATGAACATTAACCTGATGACATTACTTAACATTTTTACAACTAATCGCGATAAATCATGATTAATCATGAATTTTAAAATATTTGTATTTATATATATATTTATATATATTTCTAAACATTGCTTGGATCCATATTTATTTTGACTTCCTGATTTGAAATTCGAAGGAGAAAGTTTTACTCAACCGATAAATGAAAATGAAAATGAGTTTTGTTTCCTCCTTGTAAACTTGTTCTTTGTTCCCATGAGTCATTACGTCGTTAGAGCGACGTATTAATCTTGATTAGCAGAGGCGATTGTGGTGTTTGTTTTGGTCAGAAGCCAGAGTTATTACGCATTACAGGAGGAAAGCAGCTGAATACATAACACAGAAAATCCTTGCAGCGAGGGATCAGGCTGTTCACCGTTCATTAACACAGGAAGTGGTTACAGACTGCATTTCTGCATAAACAACAATTATAGTCCATTAGCAGCAGGTGAACAACAACATGCGGTGTGATTTATCCAGTTTAGTGGTAGAGTCGGGTGATTCATTGAAATTCAAATTTGGTTACGATCTTGGCTGCCCATGTTTATATATATAAAAAAAAAAAATCAAAATATAAAGATTTTTGTTCCTTTTGCCCTGATCTCATGTTGAACTCATTCTGTGGTGTAAATGCAGCAGCCCACACTACAGCGGTGTGCTGCGCCCCGCCACTTGAACACAACCAGTAGTTTCACTTTCATTTTTTTTTTGAGAAAGAGGAAGAAGGAGGAAGGATGACAGAAAGAAAGGCAGCATTTGGTTGAAAAGAAAGCAAAAAAAAAATTAAACGTGTGAACCCTCACCCCCTTGCAGATGGCAACAGCTTCTTTGGACATGGATTTAGGGTAAGAGACGTGATGCTCCATGATGGACTGGAACAGCTCGTCTTCGTCTTCTCCATCAAACGGCGGCTGCGTACAGTGGACATGTACAAGTATTAGTTCCCTTCAAGGACAAATCCAGTTAGTTTAGTCATTTAACTCCGTCTAAAGCTGGGGTCTCCTTATAAAGACGACCATTTTACCCACCTGTCCAGCCAGCATCTCATACAGGAGAACTCCAAAGGCCCACCAATCCACAGACTTCCCATAAGGCTGGTAGGCTATGATCTAAAGACACAGGTCAAGGTCAGGGTAAGGTTAAAGAAACTTTTTTTTTTCAACTTCAGAGTTTGGAGAACGTACTTCTGGAGCGATGTAGTCTGGTGTTCCACAGAAGGTCTTGGTGGTCACGCCGTCCAGCATGTTCTCTTTGCACATGCCAAAGTCTGCTATCTTTATATGGCCCTCAGAGTCCAGCATGACGTTGTCCAGCTTCAGATCCCTGTACACGATGCCTTTGGAGTGAAGGAAAAAGAGTCCGATGGCGATCTCCGCAGCATAGAACCTGAGACACAGAATTACGAGATGCATTATTATTATTATTTTATTGGTAATATTACTATTATTTTTATTTTTATTATTATTCTATTTTCAATAGGGCTGTCAATCCATTTTTAAATTATAATCAGATTCATCGTTTGGTAGCTGTGGATTAATCATCATCAATCCAGACAAATCAACATTCCTTAATATTTTTTCTATAACATTGTTGCAACAGAAAGACAGATAACAGCAGCTATAGTTCTGTGTTTAACACGTTTTTATTTGTGACTAATCTAAATGATGACATTATTATTGTATTATTATTATTTTTTTAATTGTTATTATTCCTATTAAAATCATTGGAGGAGTTGTAATCTTTCTGTTCAACTCTTTTCGTGGTGTGTACTCACACAGCATGAGGTTCCTTGAACTTGCCGACCTGTTGGATCTGGTACATCAGGTCCCCTCCGTTTATATACTCCATCACAAAATATAATCGGTCCTGGAACACAGAGAGGAAGAGGTGAGGACCGTTTCCACGTGCGTGCGTGTGTATCTCGCCTGGTGCCAAGCATTGAACTCTAACCATTGTTTGGAAACAGGAGTGCAGCTGCGTGAGGAAGGGAGGTTTTCCAGACAGAGCCAACACTCGTTTCTCCACCATGGTGCACTCCACGTCGTCGTCCTGGATCACCACGTCCTTCTTCAGGATTTTGATGGCGTACAACTCGTCCGTGCCCTTCCTCTCTGCAAGCATGACCTTTGGAAATGAGCAGAAGGTGTGAAAATATTTTTCCAAACACCTGCAGGTTGTTTTTTTTGGCACGCTGAGGAACAGGCATCACCTTGCCAAAGCTGCCTTTTCCCAGAACCATGACGAAGTTGAAGTCCGAGAGCTTGACGCGGTCCTGATTGCCGTTGCTGTCGTACTTGTACACAGAGGAGGAGGAAGAAGAATCTGTGGGCTTCCCTGGTCCAACTCGTGCTCTCTGAGGAGAGAAGATAACAACTGTACCTCCAGATACTACTTGGCAGTGAAAATGTCCAAACACGATCAAGACAGCACGTCAGTTCCTTCCTGAGGAACGAGGGTTTTTTCATTGTTGACATTGACATTCTTTTGATTCTGAGTCTGTCGTAGCCGCTCTAACCTCAAACTTTTGTCGTAGCTCCTCGTTGCCGTCTTCTCCTTCTGGCTGCACAGGAACATTGAAGTATTCTCCTTCCTCTTGGGACAGAAGCTTAAACCTAACAGCCAGATTCACATTTACCACAGCAGCAGCCATTAGCTGTTAGCATTGATCTTCTTCTTCTTTTTTTTTAGATAATTCTGTCCATATTCCTAACACCTCCTCTGACCTCTGTCCTCTCCTGCACCCTGACACTGTCTCCTTACCATCCATCCATCCCTTGTTTCTGCAGCT